TGGGATGTTGTGGGAGATGACGTAGGGGCCGGCCTGCGACGCGGGCAGGGGGAGCCGCGGGGGACGCCGCGGCCAGATTAAGTCATGAGAACTTGGGCCCAGCTTTTGCCAGCCTGGATGAGCAGGATATGTTCATTTCCTTGCTGACCTCCCGGGCGAATTCAGTGGTGAGGAGTGTGTTAATTAGAGAACTTTGTCTTGAGGTGGTGGTGCTGACTGGGGGGAGGCGCGCACTGTAGGGTCAGAGGTAGAAATGAAAATCGTCCTAACATGGATTCCCAATCCCCCTATCGCTTCCTTTTACAGTTTTCCAGGTTTAGGAGACTTCAGGGCTATGGGATAGATAGAATGGAGACGGCAGAGATCTCTTTGGGTATATGTGGGCCTCGCGAAGTAATGGAATCATTTCAAATTTTGGGAGAAGGCAAGTGGTGAGAGAGGCCACTGAGGCAGTTCTGAGGCTTTGCTTCTGTTCCTCCATCGTCCTTGGTGGAGATGAGGAGTGTCCTGCGGCCTCAGGAAAAGGAGAGGCTAGGATGAATGAAATCTTGCCCCGTCCCCTCTCAACTTTAGCCCACATGCTGGGATGGCAGAAGATGAGCCAGATGCTAAGAGCCCCAAGACTGGGGGAAGGGCCCCTCCAGATTGCGCCGAGGCTGGGGAACCTACCACTCTTCTTCAAAGGCTCCGAGGTACCATTTCGTAAGTACTCATCGCCATCTCCAGATCCCGTTCCAGACCTGGCTACAGGTCTCTCCAGCACTTCCTTCACAGATGAACCGCCTGTCCTGAGCGAGCGCATCTAAGCTGAGGGAAGTCCTTGGTCACAGTAACCATCCTTGCGCACTTCTCAGCATGTCAGTCCTCTCCCCTCCCTAGCTGGCAGATGAAGGGATGGGGAAAATCATGTGTGTGACTTCCAGCCTTTTCTCTTCCCCACAGCAAGGCCGTGCAGAACAAAGTAGAGGGGATCCTGGTAAGTCTGTTGGGGAAGAGGGCGCTAGAGGGATGGCACTGGTGGGTGGTGAGAATGGTGAAGATGACATGGGAAAGGTGATCGTGGGAGAGGCCGTGCTGTCTACCTTCTCAGAAGATAGTTGGCTCTGCAACTTGCTGTCAGATTAACCTTGAGCATCTCACTTCATGCCTCTGTGGCCTCCTATATAGAAAGGCCCAGTAGATCAGATCAGACCTGAACCCTGTCTCTCACCACAGTAGCCCATAGGGCTCCTCAGAGCACAGTGAGCACCCAGTCTCAAATCAGAAGATCCTTAGAGAGATTTTTGCTATAGGGCATGTGTGCTTGCTAGAAAGACAGAGACACAGGGCCAGAAAATGAGAAATAACCTCCCCCCACCATGGGAGATGGCCATGCCACAATCCCTTCTTTTCCATTCTCCTCTTGAGATTTTGGACACACATGCACACACACCCAGAGTGAGTTTTAAACTGCTGGGTCCAGGACTTGAACTGCAGTTGACTATGTGGGAATCCAGCAATGTAACTGTTATGCCATCTGCTGGTCCCTCAGAAGGTCCTTTTTCAGCCCAACGACCATTAAGTCAACTGGACTTGGTGGTAAGGATCAGAGTGTTCAGCATTGGATCATCCTGGCCACCATCTCAGACTCCCACCTACACACACCCATGTACTTCTTCCTCTCCAACCTGTCCTTTTCTGTGATCTGTTTCACCTCCACCACTGTCTCAAAGATGCTGGTGAAATCCTTAGAGAGATTTTTGCTATAGGGCATGTGTGCTTGCTAGAAAGACAGAGACACAGGGCCAGAAAATGAGAAATAACCTCCCCCCACCATGGGAGATGGCCATGCCACAATCCCTTCTTTTCCATTCTCCTCTTGAGATTTTGGACACACATGCACACACACCCAGAGTGAGTTTTAAACTGCTGGGTCCAGGACTTGAACTGCAGTTGACTATGTGGGAATCCAGCAATGTAACTGTTATGCCATCTGCTGGTCCCTCAGAAGGTCCTTTTTCAGCCCAACGACCATTAAGTCAACTGGACTTGGTGGTAAGGATCAGAGTGTTCAGCATTGGATCATTCCTGGCCTTATTATTTCTCCCACCTCTGTTCTCCCTCTGCCTCAGCAAGATGTACAGAAATTCTCAGACAACGACAAGCTGTATCTCTACCTTCAGCTCCCCTCGGGGCCCAGCACTGCAGACAAGAGGTAGGTTTGGTGATAGAATCTTAGAGGTCAGAGATTCAGATCATTAGAGAAAGGCTTACTGGGGAGGGGTGAGGTGACTAGGGAGACTCATACCAGCTGTCCTTGATCCAGAAGAAAGGGATCTGCCCTGCCCTGGCTCACTTTACCAGATACAGGTGGAGCTGGGTGAATTAATTTGGTCCATCACTCTGAAGTGGTAGTCTGGGAGGAGGCAAGACAACTATTAGGGTCTTAATATTGCTTGTCCCTTTTATTTCTCCTGAAGCTCAGAGCCAAGCACACTTAGCAGCGAGGAGTACATGTACGCCTACCGGTGGATCCGCAACCACCTCGAAGAGCACACCGACACCTGTCTGCCAAAGCAAAGTGTCTACGATGCCTATCGGTGGGTGGGGGTACAGTGAGTGGGTTGGTGTGTTCATCCCTGGAGAGCTTCTTGCCTTGATACAGTCTGACTTCTTAAAGGGGTCCCCACACTCAATTCCCTAGGGTCCCTCTGAGCCCAGCCCTGGCCTCCTCTAAGTCTCTTCCCACTCTGTACCCACCACGCAGGAAGTACTGTGAGAGCCTCGCCTGTTGCCGCCCACTCAGCACAGCCAACTTTGGCAAAATCATCAGGGAGATCTTTCCTGACATCAAGGCCCGAAGGCTTGGTGGCCGGGGCCAGTCTAAGTATCCTTGTCTGGAGAAGCTGGGGCGAGAGGACCTGGGAGGAAAACTCAGGGTGTAGAGAGCCAAGATTAAGAACAGCTTCATTTGCTTCAGGGGCTTAGAGACCTAGTGTGTGGACTGCTCCTTAACTTGCATCAGATACTGCTACAGTGGCATACGGAGGAAGACCTTGGTGTCTATGCCACCACTGCCCGGACTTGATCTAAAAGGTTCAGAGAGTGTAAGTAACAAATAACCCTCCAATTCCATTCTCTTCCAGGTAAAAATTAAGAGGGCTGGGCTAAAAGATGGCGTGGTGGTTAAGGTGTTGCACTCCCACATGGCCAACCACAGTTTGAGTCCCAGACCTGGAGGCTTGAAAGTCACACCAGGTCCATGTGCATGCATGCCCAAAATCCCTAGAGGAAAATTGAGAAGATTGCAGCATAGCCATCCCTTCTAGGGTGTGATTTTTCACTCTCCTTTTCTCTGTCTCTCTTGGGCAAATCATGTACCCTGTGGCAGAAGAAACAAAGAAAAGAAAAAATTAGAGGCCTTTAGGACATGCTTTGTGTCATGTATATAATTTCTGGGTATAGAGGGTCTGCCCTTCCATCTAACCTACAACTGAGGCAAAGGTTGAAGATTTGTGGGTTTCTGGGATGGGACGGGTAAAAGGTACTCTCATTCCCACTCTTATCCCAGCTTTGATACGTAGTAATGTCAGAAAGGAGGCAAGGATTCCTTCATTTAGATTGTGATTGGGCATGTTCTTCCCCACTGCAGCCAGAAATGGGCCCAGAAGTGACCCCAGCACCTCGGGACGAACTGGTAGAGGCAGCCTGCGCCCTGACCTGTGACTGGGCAGAGCGAATCCTGAAACGCTCCTTCAGTTCCATCGTTGAGGTTGCCCGCTTCCTGCTGCAGCAGCATCTTATCTCTGCCCGGTCTGCGCACGCCCATGTGCTCAAGGCCATGGGGCTTGCTGGTGGGTAGACCTTCTGTCTTGTCTGACCAACCCTCAGCCGCTTTCAGCTTAATGGCCCTGCCACTCTGTCACTAGGATAGAGAAACCTTGGATTTACCTTCTGCTCCTAAAGTCCCTTCTTCAACATGCTTCAGACCCCTTCCTTCCCGTCTACCAGTCAGTCGGAATCTCCTCACTGCTCCCTTCCTCAGTCCCCTCCTCACCTTCACTCTGTTACCTTCTCGGGCATCCTGCAGAAGAGGACGAACACGCCCCTCGGGAGCGGTCATCAAAGTCCAAGAACGGTGTCGGTGTCGAGAACCTAGAGGGCGGAGCCCATAAGAAATCAGAGAGACCATCCCAGGTAATGATGGCAATGCCCTAACCTTGCTGCTTTAGGCTGGGGACTTAGTAGACCCCTGCTGTGTCGGGTCCGACACTCTTCACCTGGTGCCTGTGTTCCTTCTAGTATCCAGTCTTCATGCATTCTTCTTGTTCCATTTTAGCCTCCAAAGGAGCAGGAAGCCCGGGCTGGGGCTAGCACTCCAGCACGGGGAGAGCGGAAGAAGAGTGTAGTTGAGAGCTCGGCTCCCGCAGCGAATAACCCACAGGTTAATGCTCTAGTGGCCCGGCTGCCTCTGCTCCTCCCCCGAGCCCCTCGCTCCCTTATTCCACCAATCCAAGTCTCTTCACCCATCCTGGCCCCCAAGCTCCCTTCAGGTGCCCTAAAAGTGGCTACACTGCCTCTGCCAAGTAGGG